AGCTACTCTGTCCTGTTTCCTAAGACATTGTCAAAACAAAAAAAAAAAAAAAAAGAGCTGGAATACAACTTAGCATAAAGGCCCTGAGTTCAACCCCCAGTACTGCAAAAAGAAAAAAACGCCCCAACTTTACAAAACTCACCTTGCCCCGCTACTGCCAGCAGCAGCAGCCTCAGGGTCAGCGGAGCCCTCCCCCGTTCACAGAGCACCCCACCCCCACACGGGCTCCGGCGCCCCGGGCACCTTGACGAAGGTGTCGATCTCCACCTTCCTGCGCTTGGCCAGCGCCTCGATCTCCACCTGGCACACGGGGCACACGTAGAGGTGGTTCACGGCAGGGCCACCGCCGAACCTACGCCGAGGGAGGCATGGGCCTGAGCGGCCAGGGCCGGGGCACCGCCACGGCGGCCGTGGAGGAGTCTGGGTCCCCAGCAGGTGCCCCTCCCCGAGGGCTCCTCCCCCACCCCGCAGCCACTCCGGCCTGGGCCCTTCCCGGCCTGCCCTGTCCCGGCTGCAGAGCCGCCGGCCTGGCCGCAGGTCCCCACGCAGGGAACCCGGGCAGCGCCCGCCCTCACCTGTTGTACAGGTGCTCCCAGACGGTCTGCGGCAGGATGACCACCAGGTCGTCGATGTAGTGGTACTTGTTGGGCGGGATGCCTGCGGCGACAGCGAGGGAATGGGCTCGGGCCGCCCGCTGCCCGCCCGCGGCCCCCAGGAGGGCGCCTTACCTCCGTGCACGCAGAGGAAGGTGTGGTTGGTGATGGGCCCCGGCTCGGCGAAGGTGTTGAACTTGTTCAGCCATTCCCGGGACACGTAGAAGCGCAGCAGGCTGGGCTCCCGCATGGCGGCCAGCGACACCACCTGCTGCCGCTCGCGCACGGCCTCCTCGCTGCTCTTCCTGGCACGGGAAGGGATGGCAGGAGCCACGGGGACGGAGTGAGAGAGCCTGTCCTCGCGGGCGCCCGCCCCCTCTCCGCGGCCCGGCCGCGCACCTGTAGAAGAGCACGTAGGCCTCGGCATGCTGCACGGCGGTCTCGTGCACCTCGGTGACGTACTGGTCATCGAACTCGTACCACTGCCCGTTGATGACGTTCTGGCAGTAGGCGACGTAGTGGCCGCCTGGCGGGTGTGACAGCGGGGGTCACGGGGTGCGGGGGGCAGAGGGCGGGGCCGGGCCGGGCCCAGGGCCACTCACTGCCTGCTGTGCCATGGTGGCAGATGACGGACAGGAGGTCGTAGGTGGTGATCTGGGACGTGCACTCCTTGGCCAGGAAGGGGCGCAGGTCGAGGCCCTCGAGGGGGAAGGACACGTGGCTGCTGACCTTGAAGGAGTACGTCACCTCGTGTCGGAAGCGCTTCAGGTGGATGCACAGGATCTGGGATGACACGGGGTCACGGCAGGCAGGCCCAGGCTGCCAGGGGACAGGTGTGGGCCCTCTGCGACATGGTGACCACGGCCCTGCTGCCGCCAGGGCCAAGGGCCCCCTGCAAGCTGTGCTGGGCCACCACGCCCCCTGCACTGGTACCCAACCCCAGAACCCCTCCGTGCAGCCCCAGACCTCACTGCAGCCCCTCAGGGCTCGGCCATCTGCCGCCCGTCCTGCCCCGGGCTGAGGACGCCACACCCTCAGGTCTCGCTGACGGCCTGTGGGTGCGGGGTGCAGACACAGAAGTGGCTCCTGCAGCCTCCCAGGGCACCCCGAGTCCGCGTGGGGCGCTGTGGGGCGCTCACCTCGGGCAGCCGCAGGACCTTGCAGTACTTCACACCGTTCCGCAGCCTGGGGAGAGAGCCAGCGTGAGCGTCTCCCGGGGAGCAGGCATGCTGCATGCCCCAGGGGCCCCTTGGGGACCACCGGGCAGCTCAGGGGTGTGGGGAGGGCCCCCAGGGCGCACTCACTTCTTGCACCGCTCGCAGCTGTACATGTTGTCACCTGGGCGCAGGACAGGGCCAGGGCCAGCAGGGGTGGGAATGGGAGAAAGAGAGCAAGTGAGGGTCGGTGCCGGAGGAAATCCCGGTGAGCAGGCCGCGGCGCGCACTCCTGTCACCCAGCACTCGGGAGGCCGAGGCAGGAAGATCCGGAGTTCAGGGAGCTGAGCCTGGGCAACTTAGCGAAACCCCATCTTAAGATAAAAACTAGGAAGAGGGACAGGGATGTGGCTCCGTGTGAAGGCCCTGGGTCCAAGCGCTAGCGCTGTTAAGAATAAATAAAAGCCTCACGGTGCAAAAGCACCTCACACCCATTAGGCCTGCTACTCTCCCCAGGCCAGCAAAGAATGCTGAGGAGCCACAGACCGGAAGCCCGTGCGCTCCCGGAGGGGACAGGACATGCGCAGCCTGGGTGTCGGAGCGTGGCGGCTCCTCAGTCAGGACCAGAATCCCTGACCTGGAGATTCTCTCGCTGGGTGTGAGCAAAGAGATGAAAGAAGAGCTTTCTATCCCGAGCTTGTAGCGCCCATCCTCTCCTCCCAATACCTCAGCACAGACGCAGCCACAGGCCCACCGAGGGGTGAAGGGACAAAGTGTGCACAACCCAGAGTAGAATACTACTCAGCTTTCAAAAAGGGAGGCGCATCTGAAACAGGCTACAGCCTGGATGAGCCGAGGATGTTGCGCTCAGAACACATGCCGTTGCTAAAGGCAGGAACCAGAGGGCTGTGGACTTTCATTTATCTAAGGCAGGGTCTCTCTCTGCAGTTCAGGCTGGCCTTGAACTCACTTTGTAGCCCAGGCTGGCCTCTCAGAGATCCTCCTGCCTCAGCCTCCTGAGTGCTGGGATCATAGGCGTGCATCACCACGCCAGGCCTCAGTGAAACTGAATGCATAAAGCGTTTCAGTTTTGGGGCTGGGGATTTAGCTAGGCGGCACAGCGCCTGCCTGGCAAGCACAAGGCCGTAAGTTCAATTCAAACAGTACCAAAAAAAAAAAAAAAAGTTTCAGTTCTACAGGGTGACAATGTTCTGGAGTAGGTAGTGGTGACGGCTGTACAATAACGTGAATGTACTTAATATGACTGAACAGCATATTTATGTTAAAAGTAACATCAATAATGGCCATGACAGGAAACTTTCTTTTTGGGGGAGGTGGGATTTTGAGATAGGGTCTCGCTATGTAGTCCAGGGTGGCCTCAAACTCATGGCGACCCTCCTGCCTCAGCTTCCTTAGTCACACCTGGCTTTATGACAGTAAATTTTTTTGTTATAGTTTGATACAACTAAAAATTGGAGAGAGACAGAGAGAGAGAAAGAGAGAGACAGGTTTATTTCTCAAAGGTAAATAAAATGCTGAACAGTTAACAAAAAAATAAGGAAAGGAAAGAGATGGAGAATTTTGAGGAAATGCAGTCAACACGTTCAACAAACGCTGTTCCAGCTCATCAGTACTGCAGGGAAACTGAAGCCAGGTCCTCCCGGTTCTTCCTGCCAGCCCAGCCTCACCCTTCAGCTCATCAGCAGCAAAAAAGGCAGCCAGGCAGTCTTCCAGGGTGACCACGGGCCCCCAAAACCAGCTGGGGGTGCAGGAGATCACAAACCTGCAGAGAAGGTGCGGGCTGCGGAGCCTGGGCAGGAGGGCGTCCGGGGGGCTTGGCTGGAGCCCAGAGGCGCAGCGCGGTCAGCCCCAGGGGACCTCGGGCAAGGACTGTCCCCTCCCCAGCCCTGCCAGCCTCGTCCATCCATCTGGCAAGGTCCCTCTGGGTGTCACCTGCCCTCCACCCTCATTGACCACGCGTCCCCGCTGTCTCCAAATGGCCAGGGCAGCTCCCTCCCCACCGGCGACCGGGGCTCCCTCTGCCGCCTCCCTGTGGACAGTGGGGACACGCGGACCCCGCGTACCGCCGGATGTACTCCACGACGAAGGCCAGCCAGCCCTGGGCTGCGTAGCTGTCCCCGCAGGTGCCCGGCTTGGCCGGCACGTTCTGGTAGATGGCCGAGTGCAGCTTGGCCAGGTCCTCCTTGCCAGGAATGGGCAGCGACAGGTCCTGGAACGTCTCCACTGTGGTGGACACCTGTGGGGGCGGAGGTCAGCATCCCAAGTCCAAGTCCAGCCCCGGCTGGCAGGCGCCCCGGGCAGGGCAGGCCCACCCACCCGGTCACAGGTGAGACACTGCACAAGGCTGAGGATGGAGCCGTCGAAGATGTCCGAGATGACGCTGCGGTAGTGCTGCTCCTTCCGCCTCCGGCTGCCGGAGACCTGGGCTGGGGGCAGAGCGAGGGACACGTGGCGCCCCACCCTCACCCGCCTGCAACGGCACAGGCGCCGGGAACCCTGCCGGGCCCAGGGGTCGCTCTGTATGATTAACACACGGTCCTGCTCACTCCCCCCGCATCCGGGGCCCACTGCGCCCGCACCCGCGCACCTTTCCGGAGCACATAGGACGGCCCGGTCCGCGCGGGGCTCGTGCGTCGGGGGCTGCTGGCCAGCTTGGCGTGGCCCTCGCGGAGGTGGACGGGGCTGCAGGGGTGAGAGGGGCTGCGGAGGTGGGCGTCGTTATCGGGCTCTGAGGGCAGAGAAGGCACGGTGCTGAGCCAGGTGGCTAGCCGGAGTCCCTGTGCCAGCTCCGCAGCAGGGTTCCCTCTGCCCTGCGCCCTGCGCCCACTGGGCCCGGGCACGCGAGACAGCACCCTCCCGAGGGGCAGCTGCGGCGGGGCACCAGCGTCCCTCTCCCCTGGCCACGGCTGGGGGCAGAATTGGCCCCAGGGCGGTGGCGCCGCAGAGGGGCTGGGTCCCTGCGCTCTGTACCTGGCGTCCAGCAGGGGCTGCTGGGCCGCGGCGACGGCGGCTGGGCCTCGGGGGGCTGCTCAGCCAGGCCGGCCAGGGCGGTGTCCACGTCGGCGTCCTCATCCACCTGCTCCGAGCTGCTGCGCTGCTGGCCCCAGGTGCCCTTGCGGTCCTTCAGGCGCTCCTTCTCCGAGATGGCCCGGCCCGCCTCCTCCGCGGCCAGCAGCTCCGCCTCGGCCTGCGCACCGCCCCCGCCAAGGCCCTGCCCGTCGCCCTCGCCCCGGTCACTGCTGGAGTCGCAGGACAGGAACTCGTCCTCCGAGGGGCTGCGGTCGCCTTCCCGCTTCTCATCCGTGTCGCTCGAGTCCGAGTCCCGGGCCTCCGTTAGCGCTGCAGCCGCCGCCACCGCGGGCTCCTTGAGTTCCTCGTGCAGCTGGTCCATGAGGCAGCGCAGGAACTCCTGGGTGTCCTGCAAGGGGCCTGCGTCAGGGGACACTTGGGGACACGCGCCTGCAGCCTCTGCCTGCGGGGACATGGCTGAGTGGGCTGCGTTCAAGGCAGGTGCGGGGAAAGGGCACCAGGGGGTGAAGGCAGCTGACTGACAGCCAAGGGCACTGGAGGTGGCCCTGACAGTTCCACTGAGGCAGGGGTCTCTGGGCACCACCGCAGAGAGGGAACTGGGGCAGACGGCCAGGTCAGGGCCACCAGCCAGTGTCACAGAGTTAGGCAGGCAGGTGTCCTGAGACAGGCACGAAGAACGGTCCCCTTAACAAACAGAGGCCTGCTGGGCGTGGTGGCACATGCCTGTAATCCCAGCACTTGGGAGGCCGAGGCAGGAGGATTGTTGTGAGTTCAAGGCCAGCCTAGGCTACAAAGTAAGCTCAACGCTAGCCTGAACTGTATAGGAAGACCGTCTCAAAAAGCAAAAAAAATAAATAAATAAATAAAGAAACAGCAGCCCACCAGGTGTAGTGGCACACACCTGTAATCCCAGCACTCAGGAGGCTGAGGCAAGGGGATTGTTGCAAGTTCAAGACCAGCCTGGGCTACAAAGTGAGCTCAAGGCCAGCCTGAACTGCATAGCAGAGACCCTATCCCAAAAAGCCAGAAAAAAGAAAAGAAACAGCAGCCAACCAGCTTCTTCTGGTCCCACCTTTAACAGGGGCACCCTGGCCAGGTGTGGTGGCACACAAGTGTGATCCCCGCACTCTGGGAGGCTGAGGCCGGAGGGCCTCAAGTTTGAGCCCAGCCTGGGCAAGTTAGCAAGATCCTGTCTCAAAATTTTTAAAAAGGACTAGATATGTAGTTCAGTGTAAAGGCCCAGGGTGTGAGGCCCAATACCACACACACACTCTCTCTCTCACATACACACACACACACTCTCTCTCTCACACACACACACACAGCACTGTGCTCCTTCACCAAGGAGCATGGACATGATGGACATGATGGACGTGTTCTTTGCCGCAGCCTGGTCGCACCACAGGCCCAGACTTGTCCCCGTGTGAGTCCACGAACCACAGAGAAGGAGGCTTCTCCTGCAGCCGGACGACGCCACACAGGTCCTCGCAGCCCCTCAGCGGTGTCCTCCCCAGGGCCACCAGGGTGCCCGCTCCAGAGCCAGGCGGCCCCATGTGAAGGGGAGCCCCGTGCTGCCTGATCCCGCCCCCACCCCAGGCGCTGGGTGACCTGAGCCTGGGTGCTGTACTGCGCCACGGGGGACAGCGGAGCCCCCTCACGTGCACAGTGGGAGCCGTCACTCCTCCGGAAGGCGCTGTCCAGGCCGGGCCTGGCACCTGCTCCAAGCGTGAGCGGAGGTGCGGCAGCGGCCGATGCCCTGGCACAGGCAACCCCCCACCCCCGTGCTACGGCCAGGGACCTGTGCTCAGCAGCAGAGGGTGCGCAGCCAGGTTCAGCTCTGGCCACGGGCTCCGCCGACACCCGGCCAAGGGGCCACCTGGGCCACTGGGGACGTGGACTCCAGGAGCTGGCGCCTCAGCCTGGGGCTGGCTGACCTGCACATAGCTGCCGCTGCCACGGCCTCCTCTTGGCCTCGTGATGTGCCTGCGTGCACAGGGTGCTGGCGTTGATCCCAGGGCCACTGCGCTGCACTACATCCCCCGGGCTTTTTTATTTTTCATTTTGAGACAGGGTTTTGCTAAGTCACCAGGCTGCCCAGGTTAAACTCAAACTCAGCCTCCTAGAGTGCTAGGATGACAGGCACAGACCAGCATGCCCAACCAGGTCTCATGATTTTAGAAACTAGGAAGATACGGCTTTTTTTTTTTTTTTGGTCATTTTGAGACAGGGTCTTGCTACACAGTTCAGGCTGGCCTTGAGCTCACTTTGCAGCCCAGGCTGGCCTCGAATTTGCAATGATCCTCCTGCCTCAGCCTCCTGAGTACTGGGATTACAACCAACCCTGTCATATGGCTTTTTTGTTTGTTTTTGGGCAGGCTGAGCTTGAACTCATTATGTAGCCCAGGTTGGCCTCAAAGTTGTCCTGATTCTCCTGCTTCAGCCTCCTGAGTGCTGGGATGACCGGCGTGCACCACTACACCTGTCCTGTATGGCTACTTCTAAGTTCTCCCAGATTAAAAAAATTGCAATTCACATTTTCATTTACTAGAGCTGGGATTCTGCTCATGGGCTGGTGCCACTATGGGCAGGAACTGAGTCCCAGCTGGACCCCACTACCTGCACGGCTTGCCACAAGCTATGGGGCCGGGACAGGTTGGCTGCGCTGGGGCGCACAGCTGGCCCCACTCGGCCTCAGCCGGCAGCCCCCGCCTGGCCACAGGCCTCCTGCCCCTGCCACGGCAGCTCCACTCTGCGGCAGCTCAGTGCCGGCGGCTCACGGCCTACCTGCTGGGCGTAGCCTCGGAACATCGGGTTCACCAACTTGATCCCATGAGACAGGCTGGTGGGGATCACGTAGCTCGGCCTGTGGGGAGACCCAGCCCGTCACTCCCAGTGCTCCACCGTGAGAGGTAATGCTGGAGTGCAGGTGGCCAGTGAGGCCAGATCAGATCAGCTGTGGGGACTGCCCCAGCCTGGAGACCGGCAGGTCCCACGGCCACACAAGCCAGAGGGAGAACGTGGAGCCCCAGCTGCTGCCTCAACCCTCCCTGTACAATGTTTACCGTGGTTCTCATTTCCAGAGTAATACATGCTCATTACTTAAAATCTAAAAGTCTGCCGGGCGTGGTGGCACATGCCTGCAATTACAGCACGCAGAAGGCTGAGGCAGGAGGATCACTGTGAGTTCAAGGCCAGCTTGGGCTCCATAGCAAGGCCCTGTCTCAAAAAACAAAACAAAAAATCTGAAAGTCCATAAAATCCAGAATTTTCTGCACAAGTAAAGTGCAGGTGCCAGCAGTTCACTGCTTGGCATCACGTCTGTGGCGCTGGGGACGGAGCCCAGGGCCTCACACATTCGAGGCGAGCACTACCCACTGAGCGACGCCCTGGGCCTGGCTTTTACTTTAACTTGAGAGTGGGTCTCCCTGAGTGGCCCAGGGTGGCCTCGAGTTTGCGACTGTCCTGTCTCAGCCCCCGTGCAGCTGGAGTTACGGGCGGGCACCCCTGTGATTTGCACGTGCTCATCTTCTCCTCCGCCGGTCGTGTTCCCTGGAAGAAGGTCCGGCTGAGCTTGTGGTCTTCAACCCATCTTGCCCTGAGCCACAGCCAAGCCTGGTGTCGCCCACCTGCTGAGGGACCTCAGCTGCAGCTGAGGATGAGCCCAGGCCTGGCCTGGCTTTCTGAAAATTGGCTGCCAGCTGGGCTCAACCCAGGGCCAAATTCTAGCTCCATCTTGAGGGTGGCTGCAAGCTGCATGATTGTGAGCAAGATACTTTCTTTCTTTCTTTCTTTGTTTTTTTTGTTTGTTTGTTTGTTTGTCTTTTTGAGACAGGGTCTTGCTATGCAGTTCAGGCTGGCTTTGAGCTCACTTTGTAGCCAAGGCTGGACTCAAACTCACAACGATCTTCCTGCCTCAGCCTCCCGAGTGCTGGGATTACAGACGTGCGCCACTACGCCCAGCCTTTTCTTTCTTTAACATTTTATTTATTCATTTATTTTTTTGTAACAGGGTCTCACTTTGCATTCTAGACTGGTCCTGAGCTCACAGGCTGGCCTCAAAGGCATGGTCATCCTCCTGCCTCGGCCTCCTGAGTGCTAGGATTACAGATGTGCTCCACACACCTGGCTATGAACAAGGCACTTAGAGCCCCCTGCACCTCAGCTCCCCCTCAACCCAGGGGCTGAGAAGGCCCGGCCCCCACACCCCAGGCGCTCACCGCTTCTTGTGCCAGACCTCGGAGACCAGCTTCTGGTAGCTCTTGCACAGGGCCGGCTTCTTGTCTGTGCGCACCAGGCCGCCACACTCCAGGAAGAACTGGGTCAGCGGGGGGCTGGGCAAGAGGAAGGGGCACCCAGCGGTCAGGAGGAGCCATGGAAGCCCGGGCACAGCAGCAGAGGCCACTGCACCCGGAACGGCCTGCAGCTGCTGTAGGGGCCCCTTGTGGACCGCAGCCACTGCCCACGGCGCATGTCCTCATCCTGACGCTGTCCCTGGACGAGCCTGGGACAGAGGTCCTCAGAGGCACTGCGGCGGCTCCGGGGCAATAACCCATCTGCCTGGCACCCTGGACAGAGGAACCTGAACGCCCAGAGACACCAGGCCTATGTGCACACAGGGACAGTGTGTGGGGGACAGGGTGAGAGGACGGCTGCCATCTGCAAGCCAAGGACAGAAACGCCGGCGGCCATGACGCCTTGGCCTTGGCCTCAGGACCGCGCCAGGGCTCATCCTGCGGGCTCTCCTGGGCCACACACACGCCCCGTCTCCCTCTTCCACGCCCAGATCTGGAGCCCAGCCCTGGGGCCTCTCCGGTCACCTCTGCAGATGTGTCCCTGCGGGAGGGGCTGTGTCTCCCACCCTGGCCTCGGCCCGAGGGCACCTACCAATTGGACAGGGCCTGCAGAGCGGCGTTCATATAGCACGAGTTGCCGAGGTTCTTCATGCCCGTGAGGCCTGGGGAGGGACAGCAGGGAGGTGAGGGCCCCCTTGGGGAGGGGACCTCACACGCCTGGCTCGGCTGGGCTGGGCTCTGCCCTCCAGGGTTCCGTCCTCCCGCGAGGGCCACATGGGGGCCGCGGGCAGAAGGCCGGGCCTCTGGGACCCTGGGTGGGGCCCCGCCCAGTGGGGCCATCTGCAGCGCGGGCACAAGCAGAGACCCAGCTGCCAGCCCCCCACTTGGCGCTGTCACCTCGAGGTTTCAGGTCATCGTCCTCTGACTCTGACTCCCCTTCATCAGCCACAGCGACGGGCACGGCTTTCAGGGGGTGGGAGGGCAGTGGGGAGCCCTGCAATGGAGACCCGGGGTGAGGAATGGGGCACCTGCCCGGCCCTTGGCCCTCGGTAGAGCCCGGGAGGCGCGGTGGGGCAGGCTTATCCCGGCAACCCCGCTTCATCCATCTTATTTGTAAGAATGAATGACCTCTGTCACTTGGAAACACCTGCGAAAACACAGGCTCAGGACAACACAGCGTCTCCTGGAAGCGCGATTAATCCTGCACGTCTCCGTGCGTCCGCTGGCCTCAGACGGCTGGAACGCAACTGAAACTGCTCGCTGTGTGCACTGACAGCTGTTCTAGGCCGGCCGTGCTCCCGAGCGAGCTGGCCGCAGGCCGACCAGGCGCATCTCACGTGGGGGCGCATCCACCCGCCCAGGGCAGCCCCCGCCACACTGGCTCAGAGAAGCCACTGGCGCCACATGGCCCCGGGGGACCCGGGCAGTCTCCCCGAGAGGGGCACTGCAGTGACCGCTCGGGACGCCTTCAGATCTGGAGCTGCCATCGGCCACCTGGGCCCTGCCCTGCGCTTTCACACTCTGATCCCCAGACCCCGGACCTCTGCGGCCCCCTGTGTCCCCGCCACACTGATGCGCGGCACAGTGGCCTTGCGCCCCGCCCCGTCGGGTACCTGCTCGGGGAACTTGAGCGGGGCGCTGGGCGGGGCCGCCCGCCGCTGGTCCAGGAAGACCTCTCGTTCGCACGCATAGCACCACACCCGGAAGGTGGTCAGGTTCACCGTCAGGTTGTGCTTCTTCGCCTGCGGCGGGGTGCGGGGTGAGGGCCAAGGAGCCCCCACCGGCCCCGCTCCCCACCGGGCTGTCACCGGGGCCCCCGCACCACACCGACGGGCTCCTGCTGGGACTGTCCCCATGCTCTGCCCCCAGCCTCCCAGCCACAGAGCCCGCAGCTGGCGCAGGCCGCAGCCGGGCCCCACCCACCTGCGCGTGGAGGGTGCTGTGGTCAGCGAAGGACTCTCCGCAGCCGACGTAGGGACAGGCCGCCTGCGGGGGAGGTGCGGGCTGGGACCAGCAGGGACGAGCTGCGCGGCAGCTCCTGACTGCGTCCTGACTGCCCCCACGCCCAGCGGGAGGGGTGCCTCTGCCAGCCAGGGAACGCAGGCTCACGCCAGGCGAGATGGACGGGCGGCGTGGCCTGGGCTTCGCTCTTCTGGGGCCACTTGGGGCCCACGCTCTGTCCCTCCCTCCACGGAGCCCTGCTTCCTGCTGGGGCTGCTGAAATCCAAGCCCTAGCACCCTGGGCCTCAAAATCTTTTTCTCCCCGTGGACACTGACTGGGTGCAGGCGGAAGCCAGGTAGCCAGGTGGCCTGAGCCCGGGGGTGGGGCCCTCAGGTGCCCTAGCCCGTCTCTAGTCCAGCGCTGCCCCTGCAGGCATGGTGGGTTGGGGGGGCCCTCCCCATGGTGGCGAGCACCAGGCTGAGGGCACGCCGTCTCCTAATGTCCTCGGCTGTCTCTCCTGACCGTGGGCGGCCCTGGGTGGAAGCACAGCCGCCTGTCCTCCGCTCCCCCTCCGCTGAGTGGCAGCCCTAGTGCCTGGGGCCCAGGTCCTCTGAAAGCCTGTCTTGGTCTTCACTTGTACCCATAATGCTGTGTTTTGTTTTGTTTTGTTTCTTTTAAGAATTTTTTTTCTCCTTTGGTTTTCTGAGGCAAGGTCTCACTATGTAGCCCAGGCTGGCTTCAAACTCACAGTGATCCTCCTGCCTCAGCCTCCCTAGTGCTGAGGGGAGCCAGTGCTGGGTTTGGGGCAGGGCCCCTGAGGGACAGGCACTCCCAGTCCCATTCCCACACCCACACCCTGCCCCATGCCCTCTCCTCACCTGCAGACAGGCCCACAGGTTGGGTCCCACGACGCCGCATGACTGGCAGGTGCCCTGCAAGGGAGGGGAGGGCGAGCAGCTGCAGCTGGCTCACCACCGGTGCTTTGGGGACTCACGGGGACAGGCCCTGCCCAGCACCCGAAAGCAGGCTCCCAGCCCCCTTCCTGGCACCGTCAGATTTCTTGTCATGTGCTTATAAAACGTTCTCAAATAAAATCACTGGGGCTGAGCCAGACAGAGCCTTCCTCTCCTGTCATCCTCTCTTCTATCTGCACTCCGTGCTTTACCCCAATCATTCCACCCCAGACAGTGAGGTAACAGCGGAGGAGGTGTGGGCTTCTTCTGAGCTATGTCTCTGCTCTCATCATAGTGTGCAATGCAGATGTAATGGCAGGAGCCAAAGCAACTACTTTGGACTCAGAGAAAAAAGTCACGTATCAAGAATGGCAGAGCCACCTTCCCGGGCCTATCTACCTTTAGTATGTTCTGAGAGAGAAGCAGGAGCTCTCTCATGCAAGCTATTGTATTTCAGGGTCTCTCTGTAACAACTTAAACTGTGCTCTGAAGCATTTTGTCTATACATGTCTAGAACAGTGGTTCCAAAACAAAATCCTGTAACTGCTGTGCTCCAAGGAGTTGAGAGAGAAATTCCAAGTGACCCGGGAGGGCACTTACACCCTGGGGCGGTGAGAGGGCGCTGGTGCCCGGCCAGCGAATGAGCACATCCAGCACCCTGCGCGTGGGGCCTGGTGACTGTGTCGCAGCTCCCAGCCCCTTTCACAGACCGGCAGAGGTCACCAAAACAGGCGTCTTGGAGACAGGAGATGTGTCCCTGGGAGAGGGACTGTGGCCACATGTCTCAAAGCAGCGGCTGGCAACTGCCATGGTTTACAGAACAAGAGTGAAATGGAGACCAGCTCTACCCACCTGCTGTCTCGGCTTTTGTAAAGAAAACATACAAAAGCAACTAAAGAAGTGTTGACCTGAGCGGGGTGGGGCAGGGAGAGGGCTTACCGAGGTGTCATGGCGGGGGACACCAGATGCCTCTCTTTGGTAGGGGCGACACTGGGGATTGAACCCAGGACCCTTGCACTGAGCTACTTCAACAGCCTTTTGCTTTTTATTTTGAGACTGGGTCTCAGTCACCGAACTATACAGGCTAAGCATGAATTTGAGATCCTGCTGCCTCCGCTTCTCGGAGTGCTGGGATCACAGGCGTGCACCACCACGCCAGGCCATGCCACTGCATTCCTGAACCACGTTCCCCTGCCGGGAAGATCCAGCTTAACCACAGCACACACAGGCCTCGGCACCTTCCTGCAGCACGCAAGGCTGGGGGCAACGGGTGCAGGCCACGCACGCGTGCGCCTGGTTCCACCCCCAGCACCGAGCCTCTCCCGGCCTCAGTGACTCAGATGGCCCGGGCGGGCCGTAATTAAGGCGTGGGAAGAGGCTGCGGGGCAGACGCCAGCGTCCTGCCTTCCCAGAGGGGCCCCAGCCGCACCCAGGAACCGCGCCCCGGGCCTGGCCCATCGCCACCGCCCCTCACCTTCGACTTGAGCAGCAGGTCCTCTTTGGTCACCTCCCCCACGGAGTCCAAGTGAGGGCAGAGGTCCCGGGGGTCCGCCATCGCGGCCTGGCTCACCTGGGCGGAAACACGGCCACTGGGTGAGCGGCCACCAGCCAGAGGTCGTGGAGTCACTCTGGCCAGGGACGGAGGGCAGCCCCCCAACTCCTCCAGCCTTCTGCTCCTCCTCTGAGAGGACAGCTGTCCCCACGGTCACTGGGCCACACGCAGACAGCGTGCCTGGCAGGCAGGCGCAGGGCGTGAGGCTTCGAGCCTCGGAAAGGGACTCGGGCCCGCCTGAATGTGGAGCAGCCAACCGAGTGTCTCTCTGTACAGTTTAGGCTGGCCTTGAACTCGCTGCGTACCCCGGGCTGGCCTCAAACTAGCGACGATCTTCCTGCCTCAGCCTCCCTAGTGCTGGGAAGACAGGACTGTGCTACTATGCCCAGCACTTTTTAGGAGAACAAATGCCTCCCTTGGGGAGTGTCTTGACGGTGGTGAACAGGCCCAGAATGTTAAAACTGCTCATCGTACACACACACACACACACACACACACACACACACACCCCCCACACACACAGGAGAGCCTGCAGAACCAAGGAAATCTCCTGAGCTCGGGGGCTGCGCTGGCGTCATCCGACAATCACACTATATCCCCTGCAAGCCTCACCACTGTGGTGGGCGGCAGGGCGGGGGTCTGCGGGGCTCCCCCTAAGCACTGCACAACTTCCTACGGATCTGTGCTTTCCTAGGAAAACACCTCAAAATAAGTCAATGCTCCAGTTCCCTGGTATTTTAGCAGAAACCCAGCCAGGAGACTGACAGCTGGCCGCAGGATGAGGACTGGAAGTGGAGCCAGGAGTGCGTCCCTCACAGGAGCGAGGTGGAGCAGCTCCCGACGGCCCTCTCCAGCCTCAGTACCAGCAAGGCAGAGGCCCAGACTCCGCCCAAGCAGCAGACACTGTGCCGAGGAGGCACAGCCGCCAGGCCGAGCGCAGACCCTGCACTGCTCCGTGAAAATTCTTGAGCCGGGTGTGGCGGTGCACACCTGTCATCCCGGCACTCGGGAGGCTGAGGCGGGGCAGGAGGATCGCTGTCAGTTAGAGGTCAGCCTGGGCTACCCAGTGAGTTCAAGGCCAGCCTGTGCTTACATGTGGAGCCCTTGTCTCAAAACACCAAAAAAATAGACAGAAAAGTTCTCCTGGTGGCCCCAAGTGGCTGCAACCAGCCCCACTCCCAGGCAGGGGTGGGGGCCTTTCCTGCCGGAGTCACAGACAGCAGCGCAGGCCTGACGCTCGGGGCCCACACCCTGTGCTCAGCGCACCTCCGCCACCCACCCTCCCGCTTGGTGCCAAACATGCCCTCTGGGTGCCAGGCCCACCTCTGAGTCCACCGGCGCGCGCAGGCAGCCGGCTCGTTCATGCTCTGTGGGCAGCTGTGGTGGCGACAGGGACAGTGACGCAGGGCACACTGTGAGGAGAGGGCCCGGCAGGAGCCTGTGGGAAGAACCGGAGTATTTCCTGCTGTTTAAGACTGCGTCTCCCTATGTCATCCAGGCTGGCTTCGAACTGTGTGTAGCCCAGGCTGGCCGCAAACTCCCAGCAATCCTCCTGCCTCAGCCTCGGAGTGCTGGGATTACAGGAGTGCTAGGAGTACCACCGTGCGCCCCCACGCAGACAGCTGTTATTTTAAAATGATTCTTTGTGCCAACTAGAGGCCGCAACGGCCCAGCACCCTCCTAGGCAGGCAAGTGCATTTTTAGGTATTTGGGACCTCCCCAGGCTACACACCCCACAGGGACAGTAAAACACAGGGCCAAGGGGGTGTGGTTGGGGCAGGGCACCTTTGTGCTCCCCAGAAAGGACCCTCTGGGCCCCCAGGAGGGGGTCACAGGCTGCCCCACCACTGTCCCTCGTGTGCCCCTCGTGTGCCCCTCAGAGCACCCTGGGAGCCTAGCACACCAGCCCACATCCTCAGGGCTTAGCAAGCCCAGGGCTCGTCCGTGTCCCACATCCCCCCCACCGCCCACCACCGCCGCAGGGCTGGACGGCTGCCCAGACGGGGCGGACGGGGAAGGGAGCGTTTAAATGTGCAGTTATAGGACAGTCGCAGGTCTGCGGTTCTCAGTCCCTGAGTTCCCACTGAGGTGGCAGGCTTTTGCTTCCACCCCGTGCTGGCCCTGGTCCTCTGCTATTTTTGGGTTTTAGTGTTTCTAGTCTGCTCTGTCTCTCCGGCTGGACAGCGCGTAGGGTGGGAGCTGGACTGTGATCCTGGCGACAGTGACACGGCCACTCTTTCTTATTTCTCTTTCTTGAAGATAGGGTCTGCATAGTCCGGGCTGGTCTGGAGCTCACTATTCTGCGGCGATAATCCCGCCTCAGCCTCCGGAGTGCGGGGATCACAGGCGTGCGCCACCAGGCCCAAAGGCCCACTCTGAACCCACAAGGGCAGTCAGACTCCAGCTCCTGCAGCCTTGGGGAGCCGCCCCCATGCCCTCCCACACCCCCACTGCACAGATGAATAGAGGCACAGCTGAGTGGCAACCAGTTCAGCCAAGGCCAGTCGGCAGCTAGTAACCAGCTCGGGACCGCCTCGGTCCAGCAGAGCCTCCGTCTAAGTCCACGCTTGAAGTGGGGCAGACATGGTGATGCATCCTGTATTCTCAGTATCTAGGAGGCTGAGGCAGGATGACTGGGAGTTTGAGGTCAGTTTGGGCTACATAGTGAGATCCTGTCTGGAAAAAGCTAAAAAATAAACAGGTAGATAAGTACACAAGAAAGATGACTGGGGATTGGCAACATCTCAAAGGACCAGAAAGAAAATACTTCAGGCTTTAGGGGCCACACCAACTTCCGTCAACCTTTTCTCCCCTCCTCCCAACCCTGTAACAGATGTCCTCTGCTCAAGGCCGCACACACAATGGTCCGCAGCACCTGTCCCAGCACCACGCTGAATGGCCTCCTAAAGCAAACCCATTGGCATTGGCATTGGCATTTCACATCCAGCTGCACACGCAGCACCAGCACGTTCAGTAAGGCAGAGAGTAAAGATTGGCGGGCACGGCTCCACGCTCAGTCTATTTTTTTTTTTTTTTTTTGGTCTTTTTGAGACAGGGTCTCGCTATG